CAGGGGTTACAGCTGTGGTAACGGTTGTTTGATTTTTTGCGGTGCGCTGCCTGTCGTGCTTGTTTTTTTTTTCTTGCAACATCGAAGCGGGTGCGCCAGGCAAACAGGAGAGAATTTGTCCCGACGACAGTACACAAATAAGCAAATAAGTGAGGTGCAGAAGAAAATGAAGAACCAAAGAGCGCCCCAAGACAACAAAAAGAAAACTCAACTCTGCCCACGCCCATGCTGGAACTTCACTCAACAGTACAGTAATAGTGTCGATCCATTTCGTTCTTTGTTGGCCCCGTAAGCGTGGGCGCTACACCATAAATCGGCCAGCCCTCAATAGTGCCGTTTTGGCACTATTCGCAATAGTGCCGGGTGCCCGATTTAGTGCCGGTGAACGCTCTGTGCACGTACCGGCACTAAAAGGGTTCCTCGACTGTAACCGATGTCACGGAAACTGGTAAGTCATTGTACTCCTGCACAGTTTTCTTATTCATCGCACGCGTGGATCAAGTACTTATTGAATGATCGTTCAAAAAAGGGCTCTTGTCACAAAATGACAAACATTCACGGAAAATTGGTCGCGTGGCCAACCGTGTCAACATCTTGATTCTGTACTGTATTCGAATGGATCTTCGTCGAAAACACACTCCAGACATAACCGAGAACCAAGGAGTGGACAACGTAAATGGGGTGCCGGTGAAATCGATCTGTCGTTTGCTTGTTGAAACCGTAGAACGTATCCACACGTGGCGTGGTTTCCGTTGGTTTCTTGAAAAATGCTGACAGCAACAAAGTCGTAAGACTCCCTCCTCGCCAGTGTTTTTCCCTAGAAGTCTGAAAAAATAAAATAGGGTGTGCCAAAATATGTACAAAAACCCCTTTTCACGGTCACCATTTCCATGTCCCGAGGGTGTGGAAAAATATAGCGTTAACGTGTCATAACCATCTCCATGTCAAAAGGATATGGGAAAAGATAGTTTTAACTCGTCCCCATGTCGTTAAAAAATACATAACATGAGAAAAATAAACAAGGTTGAGCTGCAGAGCAACGGCAGATAAAATTATGAGCGCTCTATATCTGGTAGTGTTGCTCAATTCCTTGCCTCGGTACGTGATCGCTTCCTAGTTCGGCAGGGTGATGCCTCGTCCCCCTGCTTGTTGAGGGTGCGAACCGAGGTTGCTTCAGGAGGCGCGATATCCAAACCACAACGGATTCGGTATGCAGCTATCATTTCTTGACATTGTAGTATTTGATCTGCGCGGTATTCGAGGTCTGACTACGGGCCGTACCCTCGAAGACGCAGACGGTATCGGTAATTGAAAGGAGTCCTCGGACCCCGACCACTTTTGTGGCTTACCACTTGGTCGACAATACAAGACTCAATTCTTGGTTGGGCCTCATCAGGGTGATCGACAGCAGGTAACGGAATCTGTCGCCCTAAAAATAACTCAGCGAGTTTATGAAAGTCGGGCGCAGGAGGTGTTTTCCTAGCAAAATATCGTGTAATGGGCTAGGTGGACAGAAACTCCTCGAGTTTCTTTTGGGCGTCTCACTCGGTATACTACAGGTGATAGTTGCGAGCAGACAACGTATGGTCCCCGCCAAGGTAACAGCAATTTCGGGTTTGGGCCATCGGAATCCTCATGTGGTCTGTATACCATTCCTTGATCGCCAGGTTTAAACACGGGAATCGGTCTCAGTTTGGAATTAAAAGCCGCTTGCTTGTTCGTACGCTCCGTTAAGTTTCGGCGCGCTAATTCGAAAGCAATTTGTAAATTCTCCCGCGTGTCTTTCGCAAGTTCTTCGGTATTGGCTGTTGTTCCTTCATGAGGAATACCGAGAATAATATCGACAGGTAGTCGTGGTTGTCTACCAAACATGTGAAAAAATGGAGTTTCATGCATGGTTGCACCAAAAGAAGTGTTATGCGCCAGTTGTGTGAAGGGTAGTAGCGATACCCAATTATCGCGCTTCATTGAACTATGCATGGCAAGCATTGCGTGCATCGTTGAATGTAGTCGTTCTGACACAGAATTCCCTTGCGGACGATATAGTGTCGTGCGGGTTTTCTCGCAGTTCAGAATTCTCTGCAACTTGTGGATCACACCATTCTCAAATTCAGGCCCTTGATCATAATGCAACATCTCAGGCGGTCCAAAAATGCCTATGATGCGGTCAATGATAGCCTGAGCAACCGGAACAGCTGATTTATTCGGAATCGGAGTCAACACGGTGAAACGGGTTAGATCGGTGGTTTTGTTCTCTTCGGGCGAGGGGTCCCTTGAAGGGTCCCATCATCCCGTCAGAGGCCGGCCCTCCCATCCACCCTTCCTCTCTGTCTGGCGAAGGTGACAGTAGTCAGTGTCGTGGGTGTCGGGGGTGCGGCACCCGGGGTACTCACAATGCCTTTTGCGCTTTGTCCTTGGTTTGTCCCTCTGCGCGGACCCCGAGTACGAGGAGGTGCGCTTTTGTTGCGTTGTCTTACTACTAGCGCGCTGCGGCGGCCCCCGGGGTTGACTGCTTGTGGTGGCGGCACGCGACTTGAGGTTCTTGACCTCAGCAGGCAACTCCTGGAGTTCGGAGGTGTGAGCCTCCACCGTGGACCGCAACTGTGGCGGGTCAGTGTGTGAGACAGCCGAAGCGTGGGCAGTATCGAGGGTTGTGGAGAAAATGCCTTTTAGATTGTTTGCCTCGTGCTTCTTTGCACGATAACGAGCTTCTTGAAAACTCATAGTTGCGTCTTCTCGAACAGTCTCCACTCTGATTTTGGGGATTAAGCCGTTTTCAAACGTTGCAGTGGTAAATACGTCCCATGCGTGTTCGTGTAGGCTAATATTAGGTGGGGCGGATCGAGTAGCTTCTGCAATAAGGCGCGCGCGTGCTTGTGTGACTCTCAATGCGTAGGTATCCACGGACTGATCCACTGCCTGTTCCAACGTGGCAAATTGTTGGGCCAAAATAAAAATGCGGTTGGGAGCAGAGAACTGAAAGTAAAGAGCGTGACAGTATTCGGCCCAGGAGGAAAGAGCCACCGGCCGAGTACTTGCACCTTTTGCACGATGATCAGCCAACTGCTCTGCGTTACGCCACTCGAGCGTTCCCTGGGTCAACTGCAACAGGGTGTCATACGCAGCCCCTCGCAGAAGAAGCGGGAGGTATCGCACAGCACGTTGGTCGACTACATGGTCCGGGCAGCTGTCTACTGAGTTCATTGTCACACGCGCACGGTATTGCGCCAAAAGTTCTACAATATCTTGCCCAGGTGCCCCTGAAAAAACAAGATCTTTGGGTAGGTCTGCGGGGTTTAAGACGAAACGAGCAGACGTACCCGCAGTGTGCGCTGACGGGCGTTCATCAGTGCGAACAGTAGAGAGTGTAGGTGAGGCATTCGGCATCACGAGAGGGTCGCTAGTCCTGCTGGTGTTGTCGACTTCTCGTGGGGTCTATACGGATTTAGGCGAAAAATCTTTTACTAATTGCTGAGACGGGATGGGTGATTGCTGTTGAGCAAAATTAGTTGGTATGCTGTTGTCACGCCGGAGGTTCGGGCTGGCACTACTCTCACTGCAAGTTCGGGCTGGCACTACCCTCACTGCTAAAGTTGGGGTCGTGTCGGGCAGCAGTCATGCTACCACCTACAGCATTCACCTTTCGCGAGCTGGCGGGCAGCACAATATACATGAGCCATTCCGGAGGGTCGGTCCCATCGCGGTGGTGCTGTTTCAGCATCTCCACGATGGATGCCCCAGCCGGAGATGAAAGAACCTCGGGCCCTCCTCGGGTTCGTCCTCGTCTGCCCAACCCCCCTGCTGCTCCCGGCCGGCGGCAGGGGGGACGTCCTCATCATCGTCTCCGCCCTCGCCGCCGAAGAAGTTGTCGCGCTCGCCCGAATCATCACCCCCGTCACCACCGCTGGTGTTGCTAGCGTGGTCGGCTTTCTCGGGGTCATCCGACTTTTCCTCCGGAGGACTGCTACCACCCGAGGGGCGCGAAGCAGGCACGCGTTCCGAGGGTGTCCCAGGTGCCAGCGGGGTTGTCGGGTGCTTAGCGGCGAGACGTTGCCGTAGCTGCTCTAGCTCAGCTTCAAGCTCAAGGCGTCATTGCTGCTTCTCTAGCCGCCTGCTATCCGCCTTTGCCGCCTTCTCGCGAGCGCGTTGCACGGCTGATTTCTTTTTCGCCATCTCTCTCCTCTACCTCTAGTACCAGCAGAGTATCTTGTAATTCGTCGACGCCAATAAGGACACAGACTTCCCTCGTCGGGGGGAGGCCCAGGTCTCAGTAGTCTTTACCCACTGCTAAAGGCTGGCAGTTCTCTTCGTTGAGATTTAGAGAGGAGAGGGTCTCAGAAGAGAGAGACAAAAGAGAGAGTCCTGCCGAAGGGGCGAGGGAGACCAAGCCCTAGGGACTCGGATTCCCAAGCTCCACAGGTGGGGCTAAGAGGGACGCATCCATAGTTCGGTCTCTTGGTGCTGATCAACCATCAGTAAGATACTCCGTTCGGATTGTTTCTTGGTCCTGCTTTTGTATGTGCAACAACAATGTTTACAGCACTTCTACACCTGTCATCCCCACTTACCGTATGTATACCTAGGAGCCGTGATCACACAAGAAGGATTCTTCTCCCTGCGCCCCCCCACCCAACCCCACCCCTCCTGCGGGTGTTCGCCTTCGAATTTTAGTTTTACACGATAAAATAAGTGGAACACTCTCTTGCCTCCGAGTGTTGCGTTCTAACATACGAAGTATGTAGCGCTTCCCACTTAATACCAGGGACGGAAGCGAAAGAAGAAAAGATCGCGCGTTGATTATGTACATACCTGGTCTCGCTTACCCGATATTCAAACCCCTGTCCTGGCCACTACAAGGGTGTAAGTACCCCGACGACTAAATAGATTCGACCATTCTGCGCCGTTTCTGGAGACAAGACGCAGCAGCAGTTTTGGGTGGATTGGAGGTTGATGTCTGGCCAAATTTAGAACGGATTTCCGCTGATACCCGGTCGCCCCGACGGTCTAGCGGGTAGCCTCGCAGCCTGCTAAGGGCCAGGTCATGGGTGCGACTCCCGACAGAGTGAGTTTTTTCTCACGAACTAATTAAATCCTGGTCTCCGTTGGAAGCGACGCGCTGCAAAGCTCGTTGTTAGTAAACATGATCGACCTCATCAGTCGCGAGGGAAGGGATTGCTGTACCCTACCCGCGATAAAAATATCTCAGGCAGGAATCGAGGAGGGGGTCCAACCTTCCCCTCCTATGTGACCCCGGTTGGGTCGTCTAGCTGGTAGAAGTGGAGGATAGGGGCCAGAGGGGCAGACGACAGTCTAACGATGGGAGACAGAAAAAAGAGCAGACTACTCGACCAACCCAGACCATACGAACATGAAGCATGAAACACAGCAGGAGAAAATGCCGACATTTTACACAAGTGGCAGTCCGGTGGGTCCCCTGTCTAGCGATATGCCCTGTACACAGCCTGTTTTTGAAGGTGCGCTTTTCCCGCTACCATAGCCGTGTCCTTCTCGAGAAATCGCAGAAATATGCACACAAGTAGTTCCGCTTACACTATGAATTCATTACTAGGGAATCTTGCACTCTTTCTGCGGATAGAGATGAATTTGTTGTGTCGTATTGAGTAAAAGAAGAAAACTGCGAAGTCCCCTAGTTGGGGGAAGTAAGCGAAGCGAGCTTACCGAGTGCTAAGCAAATATGCATAACACTTTACAAGTATTTGGACACGACCACCCACTCCAATTTCTTCGGGCCTTGTTACCTGCTTCCAAAGTTTGGAACATTTTACATTTGTAGTGCTAATGAATCGTTAGATATTTTTTCGAGGGTCGTGGACCCCACGACTTCATCACGCCACCCGGGCTTACCCTACTCCAAAATATTCCCCGGGTTCCTCAAAGACATCCCCCACACAAACGTAGACCTAGACAGGCTGTCACACCTCAACTTGCTACATATACCATCTCCCATGCGTCTGCGTCCTACCCCCAATTGTTCCTTCCCTGCACCATGTGTTCCCATCCCCCACACGACCCCACCTTTAACACCCCCGCCCCCCGCCCCGCCTTCGGGGCAGCTACACAGCAGTGCGTATAACTGTCTCTGAAAGTGGAAGCACCAGAAAATAAATCGAGCCATTCGCAGCTTCGATTCGTTGCGAGGAAGTAAGCACAAGATGCCGAATACCGTTATCACTATGCAGCGCACCCTCCATGCGAGTCGCCGAATACCTCACGGCGCTTAGCGCTTGCCGATGTGAGAGCCTAGTCCGGTGAGAACCCGGCGTGCTCCGTCCCGCCTTGGTAAGGATGCGAGGTCAATGGTCTAACGACTACGACATGCACGACTATGAGTACACTCCCCCCCTTCATGGTCCTTGTTGGATCACATACAAATGACCCGCACCATCTCCACCCTCATAGGCAGGATGAACAGAGCTCGAAACACCCGTCCAATCTCCACCTCAACGTCAACCTAATAAGTCTTCGCCTCCATCGCCTCCATCGCATCCATCGGTGCTAACGTCGAAGTTTGGTACCAACGAGATTTCAGCTTATTTCGCTTGCATCAGTACAGTTGTAAATGTTTCACCCCATGGGGATTCGAGCTCACGACTGTGCCACTAGCAGTTTCGAGGTTACCACTAGACCACCGGGGCGACCGGTCCCCCCTATTACCAAAGCAAATACAAGCGCATCGAGTAGAATACGTAAAAACCTACCAAGTACGAACCTTCCGGCAAGTACGAAATCGATTGTAGATCCGGAAGGCTAGTCTGCAGAGCCATAATCCTTCCCTTGAGACAGATCGTACCTCCACCACAGCCCCCGCTCGCTGCAATACCCCGCAATGACTCCGAGTGTAGCATCGGAGACCCCCAGTAGTAATGACACGTCGGTTCCCAGTGGACAAGGTCGCAAGACGGGGAATACAAAGAGATGCCCTCCGCCAATAAGCTTTGGCTCACAGCCCACCTCCAACAGTCCAAATCCGCGTGGAGCTCTTCACCCCAAATCACGGTGAATTCTTTCATGACCGTCGACACGTGTTAATCGTTATCTGCAAGCCCTGTGACAAACCCAAGCCGCCTCACGAAGCATTTTCCCGCCCGTACTACCTTGGTTAGGTGTCGAACTTCCCACCTCGCCCATCGGCGCGTGTTCGACCACTAAAGTAGTAACGCCAGTACCTCATCGGTCTTGTTCGTGGGAATAGCAATTTCCATCCTCTGCGTGTCAACGGCATATCCAAAATCTCTTGCTGAACCGACCAGTTTTTGATTTTTTTCTGCGACATTACCGGCACAGGGTTGTCTGCTGTGCTGCCGAGCATGCGGAGGTAGTCGGAAATAGCCGATCTGGTTGCTCCAAGCATAAGTGCTTCATTTCCATGAGGGCACGCCTCCAGATTAGATTGATCATATCGACATAAATCACGTCGAAAAATCGCCAGGCGTGTACTCGCTATTCAGCAAACGGCTCAACGAAAACACCGGTGGGGGCGCAACGGCCGGCTCCCCAGGGGGGGAAACCCTACACTGCGCGTCGCGCGCAATGTCGTCCGCCTCCGGAAGCACGTTCACGTTGAAGTGATTCGTGCGTCTGTGCGAGTGTAGACTACTTGGTACATTACAATAGCCGACGCCAACAAGGACCACCACCCTCCAAGGCCAAATGCCATCCGAAAATCGATCACCATAAAGCATCCACGACACACGAGACACGGGTGAACCACGTCCATCTTTGCCCCCTTTTCGTTGCCCATAAAGCACACGCAAGTCTCATAGTGCTCGGCAAGACCCCGCCGATTTCACTGACTGGTGCCGGTTCGGAACAACTGTCACCGTTCACCCACGTCCAGCTGTCGCCATCTCCACCCACACCAAATGCAAGTCCACCATCACCCGTTTCTCTTTGGTTCGACCACTGCCAGCGGGGAAATACGCAAATGCTTGATCGCTCTAGATCGCTCGAGCCATTGATTTGTGCAGCGCCACCACCCTGGCGTGACCTAAGTCTTCCGTTACTCTTTTCCACAACTTATGTTGGTGAGGGGAAGCGCTAGAATGATTGCCGTATTTGAGCGCGGCGCCCGATCCACCGCTTTCAATGACACTAACCGGCACCCATTCGTGCACTGCCTGCATCAGCCTCCTCATGTCCGCAAACCCTGTAGATCCAAAATGACGTTCACTCAAGAGAGGGTCGCCTCCGAGTAGACGTTCAGTATTACCAATACGATAATCCAAGCGCATCGCCAGCTCCGGTGCCATCGATGCATTAGCATCGCGGCATCTGTTGCGTTCCTTGATCCGAGAATAATCTCATCGTGTCGTGGACACAGTCGGAACCACGATCGTTGAAGGTTACCTTGCCACTCGTGAGTGCCTGAAATTGAAATTTGAATGGAACTCGCAAACATATGCTGGGTCTGAGATACGCTGTCCAGGAATCGAATATTTGGCCGCTCCCAATGTGTGATCCTGTGTGAAGACGATGAGAGTTCGAAACCCCACACCCACACTGACCCGCCAATGCCCGTGCCATCTTCCCAAAGGTAATGCATTAGTTTGGGCGAACACCAAGTCCACTGGGAAGCACGAAAAAGCGCCGTTGAACCTGCCGTTCTACCCACCTATGCCGCGTGGGGTGCCGTATGTTTCGTCGCACGCAACGTACCCGGGGAGACATTGGAACGTACTGCCAACCCACGTCCGTCAGGTC